CCTCCCGCCGCTGGGGCCGGTCTCGGGAAGGTGCCAGTCTCTACACAGCTGGTCGCACCTGCCGCCATGCAACGCCCGTGGCCCCTCCCCGGTGTTGGTTCCCCCAGTATCTTCTCACCGTCTTCAATTGACGACTTGAATAGAGACAAGTTTCACGTCGCCTATGCAAGTCGACGGGCCCGGCTGTAGGCTGACGCACCTGCAGCAATACAAGGCGACATCCACGAGACACATTCATGTCCGCATCAACGGCCAACCAACCGCAGTCTCCGGTGGAGGCGCCGCCTACGGCATGCTACCGATGTGCAGCACTCATGGTTTCCACGACGGAAGATTCGACGTAGCATGTCTGCCTTGTTCGATCCGGACCACAGACAAGCCTTTCCAGATCTTGAACAGGCTCTTGGAGTCTGGGGAGGCATACATGACATGGCCCGGGCTAGTTGTCACGTAATGCTTGCTTCTTTATTGGGCGGCTGCTTCACGGAGGTGCATCCCTGCCCCGTAGGCCATTCCGGGGTTGACAGCCACAATGGAGCAGCGCCGGAGCGCAGACAGGAGTCAGCTCGCTCCGTCTTCAGCTCCTCGGTGCGGTACAAAGTTGCTCAGCGCAGAGGCCCAAACCTTGGTGAGACTGGTTGTTGCCTGTGAGGGACTGGTCGGACGAACTCAGGCGCCCGTCAACAGTCATCTCCGCCAGCATCTACAGAGTAAATATGCCACACGGGAACATCAAGCGGCCAAAGCTAACGGTGGCCAGTGGACGATAGATACTACTACTCGCCTCGCCAGACGCCCGCCAGCATCGATTGGGACAACGGGGGCATGTCATAACGGCGCCCGTGTGGGCCGGTTGGCTTCGGCATTCTTCTGGCTCATCTTGCCAACCTTTGCGGCGAACAACGACCACGGCGACTAGCATCATCTCCACGCAGGCGCCAGGCATGGACCACCGAAGCCAGGCGAAGCCTCAAGTGCTAGCAAGCCCCGTGCCCGCCAAGGTGGTGGCACCACAGATGTTCCGGTCCAGCCAACCCTGAGCCAACGCCTTGTCTCTTTCACGACGCCGGGCCTCCGCTCTGAGCGTCCACTTGCACTTAGGGGTATAGCGGCGGACAAACTTCGTCGGAGGCAAGTGATGAGTTTTCTCGTCTCGTGCCACATATAAATTGGAAGGGGGAATGCCTTTGAGGAACCCCGCCCAGAAAACTCTGCCTGTCTCGCCTGTATCCTGTTACGACCATCCAGCATCGTCTTACAGCAAGTCTTCACCTTGAGCCGTCTACGTTGACCAAGGCGCCCTTTGCCCAAACAAGCAACCGCTTTTATAAGGTACGCAGCCTAGCTCTTAGCACGAACCGCTCCGAGTTTCCGAGTCCCCAAGTTGCTCAAACCCCGGACCACTGCAGGTACCTCTCGTGTTACGCTGTCGGCTACTCGAGAGGTAGTTTCGCCAGCAGGCATTTTGCCAGACATTATGTACGAACATGGAGTAATACCGGGTTGATTTGACCCTTTTTGCCTTGTGCCCAGCCTGTGCGGAACAGCCTTTGGCTTCTCTACGTTTCTGATGTGGTCCTTTGGCAGCCTTCAATGCTTACTGGCGGTGTCGGCGGCCGCCGCTCCATAATAAAACCCAGACATCGTTTGCTGTTCCACCATTGATTGCCATTTTCGCCGTCGTCATTCACCGTTTTCTCTTCTTTGTTTTACTAATGCCCCAGTCGCTGCAGCTGTCCATCTAACGCTCTTGGAGTCCGAAATTGACACCTCCCTGAGGAGATCGAAAGAGGTCGTCCAGCTATTTTACATTTTTTTTTCAATTGGGAATCTTCTATTCTTTCAAAATGGCTCCCCATGCAGAGGCCGGTGTCTCCGCCGTCTCGGGCACCACCAACGCCCGGTATCACGCCGCTTCGACCGAGGCCGCAATCAAGGCCGAGAACGAGTTCGCCGCCCACAACTACCACCCTCTCCCCGTCGTCTTCTCCAAGGCTCGCGGCGTAAATGTCTGGGACCCCGAGGGTCGCCAGTACCTTGATTTTCTTTCTGCCTACAGTGCCGTGAACCAGGGCCATTGCCACCCCGAACTGGTCAAGGCTTTGACTGAGCAGGCCAGCCGCCTGACCCTGTCCTCGCGAGCCTTCTACAACGATGTGTTCCCCAAGTGGGCTGAGAAGATTCGTAGAGTCTTTGGCTACGAAATGGTCTTGCCAATGAACACTGGCGTTGAGGCTACCGAGACTGCCGTCAAGATTGCCCGGAAGTGGGCTTATAAAGTGAAGGGAGTTGAGAAGGACAAGGCTTTGGTCTTCTGTGTCACCGACAACTTCCACGGCCGCTCGGTACGTTGCGACTGCCATTCAATCCGTGCCGCCCACTGCTATTCAATTATATCAGTGCGTAACTATATTTGCTAACTGTAATCGATGCTCGCAGATGACTGCTGTCACCCTGTCCACCGACCCCGAGTCCAAGGACAACTACGGCCCTTACATTCCCAATATCGGCGCCGCTAGCCCGTCCACCGGCAAGCCCATTCGGTTCAACAATGTCGCAGACCTCGAGGAAGTACTTGAAGCTCACGGGAAGCAGACTGCCGCCTTCCTAGTCGAGCCCATTCAGGGTGAGGCTGGTGTCGTGGTTCCAGACGAGGACTACCTTGTCAAGGTTCACGCTCTCTGCAAGAAGCACAACGTTCTCCTCATCTGCGACGAGATCCAAACCGGTATCGGCCGGACTGGCCGCATGCTTGCCTCTGAGTGGTCTGGCATCAAACCCGACATGGTTACCCTAGGCAAGGCCATCTCTGGTGGCATGTATCCCGTGAGCGCCGTCATGAGCTCCAAAGAAGTTATGCTGGTCGTTGAGCCTGGCACTCACGGTTCCACGTATGGTGGTAACCCACTGGGATGCGCCGTCTCTATGCGAGCTTTGGAGCTCATTGAGGAGGAGAACATGATTGCAAACGCTGAGCGCCTCGGTAAAATCTTTCGCGACAGTCTTGCCGCCCTCAACAACCCGATCATCAAGACGATCCGTGGCAAGGGTCTCTTGAATGCCATTGTCATTGACGAGGCTGCTGCATCTGGCCGCACTGCTTGGGATCTCTGCATTCTCCTCAAGAACAAAGGCCTACTGGTCAGTTGATACACAAACCAGCCACTGGCGATGACAAACACACATGAACGCTAACAGTTCTTTCCCTTTTAGGCCAAGCCAACTCACGGAGACATAATCCGCTTCGCCCCTCCCCTGGTCATCACCGAGACTGAGCTTCGCAAGGGTTTGAGCATTATTACTGCGGCCATCAATGAGCTTCCTACCGTTGAGAAATCTCATGGTCACTAATAACAAGCCAAAAACAGATGCTACTTACCCGGTAGCATGAAGCGCAAAGCTCAAAATTTTGAGTGCGTGGTTTTGAGAAATGGATGACATGCATGCTTGTGACATCTTTTTAGTATTATTTGCTTTGTCGTACCACAGATACCCCCCTAGGCTCAAGAAGATGGGTCAGGGCTTACGGCCGCCTTCATAGATAGCCGGCCATTGGCATCGTGAAGGCGCAATGGGAAACGGAATACGCGATATTTGGATGTACCATTGACATGAAACACCGGCTTTGTTCGAACATCGGAGGAGTAATAGAGGTCTCCAGACTGGCGCGAATGGTGTTATTTT